ATGGTGAGAAATCCACTCCAAATAGATCCTAGGGTTTGTTCTTCGCACTTTCTCTCTCTAAAGCTCTGTTTTTTGCTCAAAAACTCGATTCTCTCTCCTTTGGCTTGAATCAGCCTCAAAAGCCCGATTCTTGGCAAAACACGGCGAGGACACGATCGTGTTTTTCTTTTGCCCGTCCGTGTTCTCGCCACGTGTTAAAAACAAGCCCGCGTTGCCCTAAAACACGGTCGTGCCCACTTATTGACACGGCCATGTTTTACTTCACTTCTGCCCGTGTTTTGGACTTCGCAGCAGCCTCCAAATGCAACCTCTCGGCATAAATAACACGGTCTGAAACATGACCGTGTTATTCTTTAGTCCAACCCGTGTTTTGCTTCTTCATCAGTTCAGCTCTCGCACTAAAAAACACTGGTGTGCTCGTCCGTGTACACGACCATGTTCTTTAGGCCTCCTGCCCGTGTTTTGACCCCAGCTCGACCGAATGACGTCCAAAAGCCCTGAAACTCGTGCCTAGCCTTCCCTTCGACGTCTGGGACCTAAAATGTGACAAAGTATCACAACCCAATGTAAAATAGGCAAAAAAATGCACGACTACAAGCCGCACACAGATAAGAACTAAGGGTGCAAACAAGTGCAAATACACCATTATCACTCGGTTAACCGTTAAGTTTAAACATCTTCCTAATCCGACAGCATGATGGATCCAACAATCATTAGAATAGGTTGAGTTTAATAGATTGGTTTATTTCATCTTTTTATGTATTAAAATGAATTTTTAGAGCAAGGACATGTCAACATATACACTCTATACAATATATACTATTGGCACGATAAAATTGTCGTCTCATTTCAAATTTCCAACAACGAGAGCAAAAGTATGAATGACATTTTTGTCTTCGCCTTTATTTATATTTATTTTGTATAGAAAATAGACTAGTATTGGGATTTGAACTAATATATCTTCAAACACAGACAAAAGTCATAACCATGATTTTCAATTCGAGTATGACTCTGTTAATCGAACCAATTCTATCTAAACCTGAGTATCTCAGCGGGTGTCGAAGGCCCAATTGGTTGTCTACTTAGGCCGGGTCAAAGTTGAGTTTGTCTATCTTAGTGGGAAATCCAACCGATTTAACCAGCTGATTCGAGCACCAACCATTTCAAAATGATGTTGTTTTAAACAATTCATATACGTAGCTACACTGTTATATCATCCTTTTACTTATCACAGAACCCTACAACATGAAACATCACAGACCATGTTCAACTATCCCATCGTCTCTTCTTCTTACTTTAGATTTGAGAGCCTACAATACACGACCCAACCATCTCAAAATCTATCATAATCCCGCAATAGCAAATTTCATTTTTCTCCAGCTGCATAGTCATAGAGCCAGTCGACCTCATCTCATACAAATACAAAACAAAAATTATTAAGAAACATGCATTTGAGTTGAAACTTTATGTGACTAACAAAGGCCAAATTCCTTATTTTAATTATTATTTAATACTTAATTAAATTCCTATATATCTTATAAATAGAGGATAGCTTTAAAATTGCGGCCCAAATATCATTGATTCGAATATTCCATATCAAATTGCAGTGTTGAATATTTAAAAGTGATGTATTAATTTTTAGACCTACTATTACACAATCGTATTCATATCTTTGTGTAAACTATATGAGACTGGTTCATTGAACATTTTAGTTTGGCTAACCGTCAAATTTTAAATCTTTTCCTATTCTGGATCCCACAATCATTAGGAGTTTAATAAATTGGTTCATTTCACCTTTTTTCAATGTGCTAATGAATTTGTAGGGAAAAGACATGTCTTTATATACACTCTACACAATATATAATACTAAAATGAGAAAATTGTTGTCTCATTTCAAATTTCCTACTACGAAAACGAAAGTAGGAATTATATTTTTTCTTCATAATTATTTTACAGAAACTACAAACTTCCAAAATCCAGAAATTGTTGCTCAAACTAAAAATCAGAGCATCGAAAATCAATGTTCGCAAATTTTATTTCATATATCACTTATTTGAGAGATTTTTCTCTCTATAAACAAAGTAAAATGAAACAAGTTATAGCAAAATCAACAGCTTTGGATCGAAGACGATGACTTGCTTCTTCATGGGAGAAAGAAATATATGTGGTACCGTCAGAGATTTGGAGAGCAAAGACGAAAAGGATACACTACGAGTTCGTGAATGAGTATTGTGAAATAGATCATCAAATCACGGACTTGGGGCTGAATAAAATGATAGGAGGTTAGTTAGATAGCCGATGATATAGAATTTGCCAATTTGGTACATCTACAGGAGATATCTAGAGTCAGCTTAGGAAACAAAGAATCGAAGGGGGAAGAAAAAGATATAGACTCTTTTATTAACAACTAATTGAGTGCATGGGGATGGATAAACGATGCATTCATACTATTTTCCTTTTTTAAAAACTAAAACAAAATAGCACTATAAACTTTTTTGGGTTTCTATTCACCTTTTGAAGTTTGTTCTTTTTCGGGTCTAATCAAATTATTTAAAGCTATTATTCTACTAAAAAGATTTATTTTTTTCCACTGCATTGATGTAATATTTTGACTAAAACATGTTAGTAAGTTAATAATATATTAATTAAAATAATATAATATTCACGCTCTTTCACGGCACTCAAATTATAATTCTTGAAGATAGCTCCTGCTTCGCGTATTGGTAAGATAAATTCGTCAATTCAATTCTGTTAACAATGAGACTACTGGAAGAACTCGCCTTCCATCACATATTGTCTTCCCTCGCAAACACCCCATGCTCAATTTCAACTTGGTCATTACTCATTAATTCCATTTCTGACACACATCGCCACCATAAGAGTGCGACCTTCATCGCGTGACGAATACATGTTGTTGGAGTGCATTTTAGGTGCTCGAAGGAGGATAGCAGAAAATAGCAGATATAGAAACAAATGTAGATAGTCCGGTCGATGAATAATATTATTCATATGTAGATGAGATTTTATATAATTTATAAATATATGAACAATAGAATAATTTTTTCATATATCCGGGCAAAAGCGGACTAAAACAATTACACCATTAACTCTTCACCCACTTAATCGACTAGGCCAACGGGCTAAACCAGGTTGACAACCTTTGATACTTGTAATCCATATATTCTAAAAATTTTGGGTTCCAATTTTTATGATTGAGTCAAATCGTTCAATAATTGTGGATTTTCAGAGAGTGGTTGAAATTCAAAAGTCGGTCTTCAAGGTTCTTTCGTGACGGACAAGTTTTTGCGTTTAATTATTGTTAGGTCGATGGAAGAGAAAGCGGGACAGATGGAGGATGAGATTGTGGCTATTAATTATTGGGAGTTGCAGATGAAAAAGATAAATCATAAAAGGGATTAAATTTAAATTGATAATACGTATATACTATATATTACAAGGAGATGTTTGATGTGAAAAATAAAAGGGATACATTTGAGAAAAATGGATAATAGTGTGACAATTTATGCTATTAACTCCACATGAAAAGTCAAATATTGTGTTGATAGAGTAGAATTTAAGGTTTTATAATGTTGAATTTTCGTAACTTTTGTACGTGCATTAGTATTTAACACTTATAGCCTCAACTTATTATTCAATCAAGCCTATACACTAAATTCTAATAATTTATACAATAAGCATTATGTTTATGTGTTCTTCCATATTTGAGATTTTTAGGCATAATCCTTTCGTTATTCTCTTGATTTTTTTTTTATATACCTTCAATTCCTACCATTCTAGATGACATATATTTTGTTTCAACTCCAACTTCATATCCGATAATAAAAAGTCCACAAATTTCTTCTAAGATATGAAAAAAATACAAAACAATAAATTAGGAGGACTGATAAAAAGTACATATTAACTCATTATCGGTAATGTCATAATCAATGCAGTAAAAAACGCGATTCTACGTAGAAGCATTTTGGTGACCTAGAAGCGTAAAACCGTAAGTTTTTAAGCTTTAAAGCGTAAATTTTGACCACACTTGTAAGTAAAAAATGTGTTTCTACGTAGAAGCGTTTTGGTGACCTGAAAAGGTAAAAACGTAAGATTTTAAGTTTTAAAGCGCGATTTTGACTGCATTGGTCATAATCAACAAATACCATAAAGATTACTATGAAATAATGAAGGGTTATAGATATAATATGCCCCTCTACTATGACGTTTTATCAAACATGCCCATCTACTATTTTTTATATCAAATATGCCCCTGCACTTTGAAAATATTATCAAACATGCCCTTCTGTTAAAATTTTCATTGAAAAAATCGTCAATCATGGTTGAACTTTTAGACGACCCGACATCGGCAAATGGGAGGAAAAATGTCAGTTTTGTCCCATGTTTTATTTCTTTGGGTCTTTTCAAAGTGAAATTTTTTGAATGATTTGATTATACAAAAGAATCAAAAAAATTCTATAGTGAAATTTTCAGGGATATTTTAGTCATTTGTGTCGCCCAAACTAACGTTCGGCCTTGGTTAACGGTTTTTGGATGAAAATTTTAACAAAAGAGCATGTTTGATCATTTTTACAAAGTACAGGGGCATGTTTGATGTAAAAAATAGTAGAGGGGCATGTTTGATAAAACGTAATAGTAGAGGGGCATATTATACCTATAACCCAATAATGAATTAACTATTTTAGAAGCCTCAACTTATTTAAAAACATGAAGAGATTTATGACAATAAAATAAAATTCATCCGACCAACGAATCGGGTTAATATTTTAAATATAATTATAAATTAACCAATATTAATAATAAAACGAAACTCATTCGGCCAAGGTCCGAGTTAAAGTTAGTTATTATTATTATGCCGTTAATGAAATGTATCTGGCCAACGTGCCAGACTCAAATCTAGTAACCCCTAGGCCAAAAACAGCTCTCAAACTTGCCGCCCAATAAATGTAAAATACAAAAACAGGGAGCAGCCACCGAAGCGAAGACTGAAGAATTACAGTTGGCCGGTCTGTTCAACGACTCTCTTCTTCGTAATCTCCGCTAGCCTACGCAAGCCAGCAGCCCCTTGCCTATCTGGCGCACGTTAGTATCTATAAACCAAAAATACTCCCCCAACTCTCTCCCCGCTCCTTCATGCGCTCTCTGCTCTTCCACCATCACCTCCACTGCTCTCCCTGCCATTGCCTCCGCTCTTCCATCCTTCGGAAGCCTTCAAGCTTAGTCTCCGCCGCCATGGCCTCTTCCCTCGCTCTCCCAGCAATTTCCCCCAACCGCATCTCCTTCGCCGCCTCCGAGGCTCTTAACGGCTGCTGCAGAAATGGAGCTCGCGGATTCGGAATCAAGAACTTCGGTCGATCTAGGGTTTTCATGAGTGTTTCAGTTGGATCACAGACTGTCGTCGACGACTCCTTGTTCGCTGATTACAAGCCTTCTGCTGCTTTCCTGTTCCCTGGTCAGGTTGGTCCCTCACTCACTTTTCCCCCACTCTATGGATTCGAGTGCGATGAATTTGATGGTTGCTTCATGTCAATTCGTCACTTATGAGATTGTTAGCTTGGAGTTGACTCGACTGTGAGTCGGATTACTGTCTACATTAATTAAATGATGATGATGGTGATGGTTGTTCTGAGCTTCACTCGGAATTGGTTGTTTTAGGAGAAAATGGAGGATGAGCCGGTAATGAATTCTTGTTTTTGCATCCAATTTTTTGGTTGTCGCATCAATGGGATGCTCGATTTAGTATAATTCGTTGGGTTATATTGATTCCATACTCCATCGGCATTGCTTTGGGGCATTACACATTAGTGTCTGGATAAAGGCTCCAGGGAGCGATGCGCGATGTGGCTTATAACAATGATATGTCTTGCTAATGGGGCTAGAGATGAATCAGTTTTGCTGCTGATATTATGATGTGGTAATGGGCTAGGAATGAAAACAATGGTGTTGACCATTTATGATGTGGTAGTATGAAGAAGAGGGCAAAGAATCGAGGAACTAAGTGTTAGTACTTTGGTGTTACCTATACCAAGGTCATGATTTTTCTCGTGATTATGTACTTCACATTCAGGTTTTTATTAAATGGTGAACTCAGAGCCAGTGTTGAAAACTTTTCACTAAGTTTGGATTAATTGATGTATAGGTGTACTAGTAGTCCAGATGAGGGAATTAGAGACTTTATTCTAAGATCATTGTTAGATGGTATGTTTTGACCCACAGTTAAGAAAGAAGGTATGGAACTAAAAATATTCAAATTTGTTGTCAATGTTCTCTTGAAGGAGTATGAAATTTTGTTTTAACCCACAATTAAGAAGATGTTTTAGTCATCACTCTGTTGGTTTGTTGTCTCTTACTTCTTGTCCTTACCTTTATGGCTCTGTGTTGACTAATTCAGGGAGCACAAGCTGTTGGAATGGGGAAAGAAGCTCAAAGCGTATCTGCTGCTGCAGAATTGTACAAAAAGGCAAATGACATACTAGGGTAGGACTTTTAGATCTTCCCTCACATAGTTTATCTCTTGCAACATGAACTCTTAGTTTAAACTAGTAAGTTTTCAGTTTAGCTGCTAGTTCGTTTGTAGTAACTTGTCCTGTCTTATTGTTGGTCATGAGGTATGATCTTCTAGAACTCTGTCTCAGTGGACCAAAGAGAAGCTGGACTCTACTGTTATAAGCCAGGTACTCTTCACTTTTGGTGTATTTAGAAAAGAAAACACATGTTGATAATTTGTTGGAAAGAGAATAATCCGAAATTAAGGGTTACTTTGTCTATTTGTAGCCTGCTATATATGTCACTAGCCTGGCTGCAGTTGAGATGCTCCGTGCTCGTGATGGTGGCCAGCAAATAATTGATGCAGTTGACGTCACTTGCGGACTCAGCTTGGGAGAATACACTGCCCTAGCATTTTCTGGAGCCTTCAGGTGAGAATATGATGGATTGAGACTAGTTAATTCTTTAATAAACTCTTATTATTGGTATATTGTTCTCTGAATCGGTTCATATTTCCTCCCAATGTTACTGTCCAAAGCTTTGAGGATGGTCTCAAGCTGGTGAAGCTAAGGGGTGAAGCCATGCAGGTAACTAACTCACGTAACGCTTATAGTAGTGTTCTGTCACTCAAAGAAACTTTTCAAGTACTCATTAGTCATTAGGACAATGGTAAACTATCTGCAGGAAGCTTCTGATGCTGCTAAAAGTGCCATGGTCAGTATCATTGGACTGGACTCGACAAAGTTCAACAGTTATGTGATGCAGCCAATCAAGAAGTCGATGAGACTGAGAAAGTTCAGATAGCAAACTTCCTGTGCACTGTGAGATTCCTCTTACAGTTCTGTCCTCTTAAGCCATAACTATCTGCTATCTTCTCATATTTGATCTGAACATGGCAATCTCCAATTTGTCTGGCTTTTCTACCATAGGGAAACTATGCTGTGTCTGGAGGTGTGAAGGGGGTGGAAGCAGTTGAAGCGAAGGCCAAGTCATTTAAAGCAAGGATGACGGTAAATTTTCAGCGCTAGTTCAAATTGAGCAATCCTACAACATTCTCATTGTCGTTTAATGTGATTGATTATGTGCCTCTCTTAGGTGCGATTGGCTGTTGCCGGTGCTTTCCACACGAGCTTTATGGAACCGGCTGTCTCAAGATTAGAAGCTGCACTTGCAGCAACAGAGATTAGAACCCCAAGAATACCAGTTATATCTAACGTCGATGCACAACCACATGCAGATCCGCCACGATTAAGAAGATTTTGGCACGTCAGGTAAAGCTACTTACTTTTCCTCCATATTTAGACATAGACATTTGAATTGGGAAACTAACATATCCAAGAATGAATCACAGGTGACTTCCCCTGTTCAATGGGAAACCACTGTGAAGACTCTTCTATCCAAAGGGCTGAAGAAGAGCTACGAATTAGGCCCCGGAAAGGTTATTGCTGGAATAGTGAAGAGGATGGATAGAGGCGCTGAGATTGAGAACATTGGTGCATGATCAGCAAGCAAGAGTGCCCAAATTTCGTGCATAGTCTATCCTAACAATCAAGCCAAGAATCGCGGAGCTGAGTCTTGGAAGTTCGTTCTTTAAATCGGCGCCATAACATAAGTCCAGTTTGTAGTAAGAGAGAGATAGAACTTCGATGCAGCCATTGTTCATGTTTGTTACAGAATGCTGGTATGGTTCTATGGTGTATACTGGAACAATAATTTATATATTGATGCTAAGATTGTATTGACTGAGATTGCGAGAACAGAAAACCAGAAAATAAGAACAATCCCTTTCATGCTTCAATCACACACTATATCAATGCGAGACTAGAACCCTAGATCAGAAATTAGGGCATTCTACTCTACATTTCAAGGTTGCGGCATCTGCCTAATCCGTCTGAGGCGATCAATCCACTGAGTTTCAGGAATTTCTCCGGCCCAATCAGGAGCTGAACCTACGAAGGAGATCCCACGCATTGCCTCCATGACTCTAGTAGCGTTCTCCGGTGTCAACGGCGCATTCCGTCGGTTCTCGTCTTCCCTGATAGCTTGAACCACCGTCGAATTGGACGACTCTGCCACCACCATCTCCATCTCTCCCTCCTCCTCCACCACTTGATTTTCGTCGTCTTCGTCGCTCTTCACGCCGTTGAGATGGAGAGATGAGATCCAGCTCTGCGCTTCGTGAGCGAAACAATGGCCGTTCTCGAGGATTCCCGAATTAGGGGCGTGATTCGCATGGTCGGCAGATTCGTCTTCCTCTTCTTCGTCATTCTCGTCGGCGTGCGAGATCGGCTGGTAATACTCCGGTACCTCATCGACGCTGGTGTCTGAATCGCTGCCGGCGTGGTTGCTGTGATCTACACAGACGATGGGAGATGTTGATGGCGGAAGAAATGGCAGCTGATGCTACCTCTGAATTCAAAGCTAAAAGTCGATAAGGATACAAAGATGAGCATGGAGAAGAATACCTTCAAGCGAAACAGAAGAAGCGAGGGAGTTGGCCGCGTTCATTGCTGCAGATGGATCTGATTAGTTCTGAATTCTGATTGCCGAAGCATTTTATATAACCGAAGTTCGGAGTTAGCTAGCTCACTGCAATCTCAAAAAAGAAAATTTTGCAAAAAATTAATTGCACCAGCCGGGAATCGAACCCGGGTCTGTACCGTGGCAGGGTACTATTCTACCACTAGACCACTGGTGCCTTTTGTGATAAATGAATGACAGTTGTTTTATTGAAAGAAGGTTAGAGGGATTCTCTTTCAATTTGAACCACAAAATTGAGATGCGGGTAAAAGCGGTTAGATTTGGAGGGAGAGACCAGAAAAGTGGCAAAGCAGAGTCAGTGGACGAGCTGTGGCCTGGGGGAGAGCGGAAGCGTGGGAATGGCGATTCCACTCCTCAGAACTCCGATTCACCAGTCAAACCCTCTGCGACGCCGCTGCTTGCTTCCTAATCCGAATGCATGCACTGCAACTGGATATTCAACTCCGAAGAAGAAGAATAAGCAGTTGCTGGTTCCTGTTGCTGCTTCTTCATCGGACCTCAATTCCCTCCGGTAAAGCTCTCTTTCTCTCTCCGTCTGCTAAATCGCTCGGACGATCACTTGACGACATGATTGTATTCTTACAGTACTGACGCCGGCCGCCGGACCTGCGACGTTGGAAACAATACCAGTATCAGTAGCTTGGAGCCAATACTTGCCATCGGAGATCCGCCAACTTTCGTCTCTGCGCCTGGCCGTCGAATAGTCGCCGGTTAGTTTCATTTGCTTTCGCATTTCAGGCTTGTGGAATACTTGAATCAGTTTATATAGATGCAACTTTCCCGCACCATAGGAAAAGGAACGGCGATTAAATTTTGACATTCTATGTGAATTTTGTTAGTTGGGGATCTACATGGAGACCTCGATCAAACGAGATGCGCCCTTCAGATTGCCGGAGTGCTTAGTTCCGATTGCAGCCGGGATTCATGGATTGGTGGTGAAACGGTAACTATTTGAGGGTTTCATCATCTCCAATTTCCATTTCCTTGGACCTTTGTTGTTGTTAAATGTTACTGTTTTATTAAACCCTCTTTATGTGTAAGTGTAGGTGTTGGTTCAGCTTGGGGATGTACTAGATAGAGGTCAAGATGAGATCGCGATATTATCCCTATTACGCTCGCTCGATGTGCAAGCTAGGGCACAAGGTGGAGCTGTTTTCCAGGTCTGGTTTCTATGGTTCGGTCGCTGGGGGTTTTGATTATTGATTGAACTTTTTGTGTGGGTTGATCTCTCTCTGACTTTTGTCTGGATTGAATTAGATCAATGGCAATCACGAGACAATGAATGTGGAAGGAGATTTTAGATATGTGGACTCCGGGGCATACGATGAGTGTCTCGATTTCCTGGCATACTTGGATGACGGATTCAAAGACGATTGGGATGAAGGTTTTATCGGCTGGGTTGGTGCATCTGAGAAGAGGAGACAAGAGCAGAAAGCGTCAGCTGGCAGTCATTGGGGTCAATGGAATTTACTCAAGGTACCAATGAACAAGCTTCTCTTCGTTTTAGTTGGATTATCGTCACAGCTTCAAGATGTGTAATTGTATGTAATAAGAATGTAACTTCGATCAAGTAGTTGATGAAACAATATTAGGACAGAGACAGAAGGGGGTTGTTGCTAGATCGATCCTGTTGAGGCCTGGTGGACCGCTAGCGTGTGAACTTGCAAAGCATGGCGTATTGTTGAAGATCAATGATTGGGTCTTCTGTCATGGAGGCCTTCTTCCTCATCATGGTCTGTTAAAGAAACACTTACACAATATCCTTCTTCCGCAAGCAAGCTAATCACTATGCGTTACTGAGGAGATCCTTCTTTAATTGTTGTTGTCTGCAGTCGCATATGGGGTGGAGAGAATGAACCGGGAAGTGTCCCAATGGATGAGAGGCGTTAGCTATGATGAAGATGATCCGTCCATCCCAAGCATGCCTTTCGTTGCTACTCGAGGCTACGATAGTGTGGTATGGAATCGCTTGTACTCGCGTGATCCCTCCGCTGTAGATGGCTATCAGATGAGCCAGGTGAGTGCACAGTCTACACAACTCCACCATTTTCTCTACATTAACTAAAAGAGTCGCAATGTCTTGGTTTTTCAGGTACAGATGATTCTCGAGGACACATTGCGATCACTTGGTGCAAAGGGAATTGTTGTAGGGCACACCCCTCAACCTGCTGGAGCAAACTGGTACTTTCTATCCCTTATATTACTCGTCGAGCGACATTTCATCCTCTCATTTGCAATTTAAGTTCCTTAATGTCTTGGGATGCATTACTCTTCTCGATGTAGTGAATATAATGGGAGCGTGTGGCGTGTCGATGTTGGTATGTCGAAAGGAGTTTTCAATTCGAGTCCAGAGGTAAAAACTTAATCTTCATCCATGTGCGTATATACCTGTCTGAAGTAAAAATGGGGCAAGTGTGTTGATGGTGTTTGTTTGTAACTTTGTATGGATGTGTTTTCAGGTGCTTGAAATAAGAGAGAGCGAGACGAGGGTTTTAAGGTGCAGAAAGGACAGTGTTGGTGAAGTTGAAGTTGCTAGTTACTTGTAAAAGAAGAAACAGCTGCGGCTGCGGCTGCGGCACTTGTGGTATATATAATGGTATAGATTAATCCATAGTTACATAGCAGAGTACATCAGAATCAGATTGTAATTTTTCTCCACACATTGTATTTGATCTCATTACATAAATAATGATCGTGGTTTTTTCTCTAATCTCATGTGCCCAAGAATGAAACTCTTTTCCGAGTAAAAGTAACTAGCGTGGCCCCGGCCATTTGGCCGGACGAAGGTGAGGTATGAAATTTGATAATGTAATGGGGCGTATAACTTATTGTTGTATAGTTTTTTTTTTTTTGGAAACACGTGATAAAAATAGTGAATTTTAATAGAAAAGAGACATGAATGATGCAACGAATAAAAAATCAGTCTTATGAACCAAAATCAAGTACATGTTACCTTGTGAAACAATATTTTTTCTGGTAATATGATGAGGTGGAGTAAGTTTTATAGAAACCGATTCCAGAAAATCGAATAAAAATCGCATATCCCGCCGATTTTCGGGAAATGAGCATCTCACAATCGTTGCTAGCTTTTACTCGGCCCATTGGCCGATTAATTTGCTTTATAAAACTTTCATCTTCTCATCATTGTGTTTTCTGGTTTTTTGCCAAGCCATGATAAAATCTAAAGAAATCAAGAATGAACAGCACGATTTGGGATAGGAACCACCGTTCCTGTATCCCTAGAAAATGGTGGTAAACACGGACTCACCTGTCAAACTGGTTTGGATTGAGATTTTTATAGGGTATCAGAGAACCATGTGATTATAAATTAGACTTGATCAAAATGGGCCAAAACTTGAAATTCAGCTTGTTTGACCGACCCATGCCAAACTCTAATTATTCTTTACTTTTAAACTTTATATTTGAAAATAAAAAATAATGAAAGAAAAGAGATGACTGCAATTCACCATTTGCACATCACTGATTCGGGAATAAACTATAGAATTTCGAAAGGAAACTGAAAATGTTTAGGATCGTTTTAATGTTAAAAATAACCAAATAGATCTTTCTGTTTAGTTTTTTACTAACAAATACCAAACGATTCCCTATAATATACACTATAATTTAATCATTATGATATCAAATAATTACATAATATATATTTGAAATGATAAAAATTGGACTAATTGAGTTGGTCGAAGTTGAACCATTGAATAACTTTAAAATACATTATATTTTAGCCACTAAGATATAAAATAATAGCATAGTATATATTATGCTTGAGAAAATAGCTTGTTTTAGAATGACAAACCCATGATGTTCATTTGTTTTACTTGATGGGCAAATCCCATGTAGGTCAGACCCGTTCAACTCTTTTATTTTATGATTAGCGGTTAGCCCATTAGAATCCATGCATTAGTTTATTGTTAATTTTTTTCTTTTTAGCAATAAAAAGGAGTATTGATTTTGCCTTTTCATATATATATTTTACCACAATGGAGAAATAAAAGGACTTTAAGAAAAAAATTGACACTCCTGTACCCGTTTAAATCCGCATGTGTACGGTAAGTTGGCCCGTTCCACAGAGGAAAAAGAAAAATATTGACACTCCCTATTCTACTCTTCCTACAAACGCTCCTGGAGCAGGGAATTTTAAATGGGGGAAGAGTTTTTCTCTCTGCAATTATATGTTTTTAATTTAAAAAGATACAACAAATGTACTTAGTGTGATTGGTTATGATCTTTGTTTTTCTTTAAAATGGTCATGGTTCGAATCCTAGTAAGTGTCTTTTTAATGAATAAAAAAAGTAATTGTGAAGACCAAAATGTCCTTCCTACTTTCACTCTGGATGCAGGAAATTTGAAATGGGGCTTCAAGTTTTCTCATTTGGCTTTTATTTATTGTGTAGATAGATGTAACAATCCCCCCCAACTGCTAAACGGAAAGAGCTAGTAGAATCCCAGTTGAAGAAAAGGAGGCGCGAAGTGTCAAAAAGAATCGAGCTCAGACGCGCTCATAATTCGTCCGAAGATCAGGCGACAGTGAGAGGACCACTCTCACAGAGAGCGCAGATTTCATCATAACTCGAATTCGAATGCACCAGCCGGGAATCGAACCCGGGTCTGTACCGTGGCAGGGTACTATTCTACCACTAGACCACTGGTGCTTGATGGATATTCTGTCTCACGTTTTGGATATCGCCTTTATTTTCCCATTTCGGTCCCCAATCCTTCCAGTACTGACTACTGAGTAAGAACCAGTAGAAGGAAGAGAGAGTGCCAGAGCGAAACAACCAGGAGCTTCTGGACGTGCCGAGGCCCGAGAGACAGTTGAAGCGGGAAAATGTCGATTCCTCACTCCAACACACTGTTCTGATTCCAACGTCCGATTCCATGGAATTCAGCTGTAAATGGAATCTCCAAGAAGAAGAAGCTGGTGCTGCTTCCTCTTCGGCTTGCTGCATCCTCGGAACTTAACTCTC